TGGAAGGGTCGCCCGCTTGACAGACTTGGTCTTCAGGTCATAGCGGCAGATGTCGGCAGAGCCAAAGCAGTGATAGTACAGAGCTTCACCGTACAGGACACCGCTTGGACCCTCGACCGCATCAGCATGAGTGTAGGATGGGGCAAGGGTGTAGTCCTTATGGTTGGCAGACGCCATGAAGTCTTCATAAGTTTGGTAAACGCGGAGGGTGTTACCATAAATGTGGTTGCTGAGCAGAGTTTGAACCCAGTAGCTCTCTTTCTCTCCCTCTGCGTCCATCTTTGCCTGTCTCCCCCATGATCCAGAGATGTAGGTTTTACCATAGGGACTAATTTTGGTTGTGACAGGTTCACTGATGTTGGTGATCAGGCCCTTCATGCAGTACCTGTGCTGGCCTGAAATGGGGAGAAAATGCCTTGAGTACAGATTGCACTTTCAATATTTCATTAGGTGTTTCAAACAGGACTGGCATGATTATTATATTTTGCAATGCAGTGCATCCGTTGATGCCAAACACTCAGTAAGTGTTTGAAATCAACACTTAATGACTTCATTCGAAAAATGAAGTCAGGTATGCCAGAATTAAAAATGGTGGATGGTGTACCTATTGTTTACAATGAACGTGTCATAATTGATTCATACAATAACTTACCTCTAAAGTCTTTGGGAATTGTCTTGCAGGACTCCACGCTGTTCTTCAGGTAGCGGAGATTTTCTTTCACAGTCTTTAAATTAATAGTGTCTGAGACTTGCATCTTTTCTACATCTTTACGCAGTTTACCCACCTAGCAAACAAACGTGAACACACATCCCCTCAGAATGGTAAACATTTATGAGAATCCATATTTTTCTGCACTTTGCTGTACCTCCGTGGAAAGTTTCTTTGTCTGCGTGTTGTTCAGCTGGGTGTGGACTGCACTGAGGCCGATCTCCAGCTGGCTGAGTTCTTGACCCAGCAGCCGCAGAGACAGTGCAGTGTACAGGCCCTGGTGGCGAAGGTACTGAAAGGGCTGAAGTCGGGCTGTCACATTTTCAACTTGAGCCTGAATCTGGGGAAGACGAGTGGTGGAGAGCAACACCTGAGGAGAAACAGAAATAGAACAGAAATAGAAACTCAATGGTTTATATATATATATATATATATATATATATATATATATATATATATTATATATATATATATATATATATATATATATATAATATATATATATATATATTGCACCAGAGCAATAGAGGCCCAGATCTACCACACCAGACAAGACCCAAGGTGTAGGTTGTGCAAGGAGGCCCCTGAGACAGTCCAGCACATCACAGCAGGGTGCAAGATACTGGTAGGGAAAGCGTACATGGAGCGACATAACCAAGTGGCAGGCATAGTCTACAGAAACATCTGTGCAGAATATGGACTGGAAACCCCGAGATCAAAGTGGGAAACACCCCCAAAGGTGGTAGAGAACACCAGAGCTAAGATCCTGTGGGACTTCCAGATCCAGACAGACAGAATGGTAATGGCGAACCAACCAGACATTGTCGTAGTGGATAAACATCAGAGGAAAGCCGTTGTGGTAGATGTAGCAATACCAAGTGATTGCAACATCAGGAAAAAGGAGCACGAGAAACTGGAGAAATACCAGGGCCTCAGGGAAGAACTGGAGAGGGCCTGGAAGGTGAAGACCACAGTGGTGCCTGTGGTCATCGGGGCCCTCGGGGCAGTAACCCCCAAACTGGAGCAGTGGCTACAACAGATCCCAGGAACAACATCAGACATCTCAGTCCAGAAATGTGCAGTCCTTGGCACAGCCAAGATACTGCGCAGAACCCTCAAGCTCCCAGGCCTCTGGTAGAGGACCCGAGCTCAGAGGATAAGAACCACCCGCGGTGGGTGAGAAGGGAATTTTTATATATATATATATAATTTCATTCATAGATGTTGACATCATAGCCTGACAATTTTGTGTGAAGCTACATAAGTTCCACTGAAAAATAACGAAAATGTAATCCAGTGACCATTTCCTTAAAAATGATCCAAGTGATTTGAACAGTCAATGAGGATTTTTATATTTAAGCTTTATTTAGCTACATTATACCTTCATAGGGGGCGGAGGGAAGGGAGAATAAAACCCTGAACAGCAATCAGAAAAGGTCTGATGTAAAGGACTAACAAAAATGTAAAGGTTTGGTGTTATTGTTGGGTCTTGGGCTTATTGGGCACAGAAATCAATTTTACATTTGAGATATTTTATGCTTATTCAGTTTAATCTATGTCAGTCTGTCATCATGAACTTTTCTCTAATTTTTGCACTTTTTACTGCTTATTGAAGAAGTAAAAATACAACAAAATAAGTACAGTTAAATGTTTTCAGTCTATAAACCTCAAGTTATATAACTTTCTATGGACAGTTTTTAATAATCCTTTACAGCGTAATCTATAAACCATAATCTGGGAATGCAAGTATCATTATCAATCGACATGTATTTAAGCAACAAACATGATGTCTTTTCATGCAATCCAAATAAATTAAAGGAAAATATCAGTGACAGGAGTTTTCCTTTGTACCTGTTCCTGCAGACTGCTCAGAGATCCCTCACAGGTTTTAACCTGCAGCAGCACACCCTCGTACTTTAGCACTGGGAAGGACCACATGGTGGAGTTCACCTCACAATGGCATGAGCCATCTTTACTCCGGCCGAGCACACGCTGGGCATCTCCATCTTTCTGCAGTCACACACAAAAACAAGGCAGTAGGCAGAACTCTGGTAAAAAGCTGCTTTAACAAATAGAAATATTAAGAATATATCTGAAACTCACTATGGTTAACAGAAGAAGGAGAAATGGCAGCATCTTCACAGCAGGAGACCTCGATGCCAAATATCTCCCCTTTCTCTCCCTTCACTGAAATACTACGACCAAACCCTCTGATGATTCACAAATCTGTCACCACAGAAAGCTTTCACATCCACATGAAACCCCATAAAGAATGGGAAACTATAAAGTTTCGCAACAAATATGGTTGACTCAGGAATCTCCCATTCCCCTTTTTTAATGCAAGAGCTATTGTTTTGTGTTTTTACAACAGACATTGTTTCGCCCTGAAAAACAAAATCACTTCCTCCATCTCAACTTAGCAACGTGTCATTGAAGCAGCATCACTGAGCTGAATAGAATGATGAGTTTACTACATTTTTATATCATTTCAAACAAATACATTTTGAACAAATCTCTTACGTGAGTGGTTTGAAACTCAAGGGTGGGAGCAGAACATGATTGGGGATCCAAGCTGAATGAATAGGGTGTATGCAGGATTATGCATACATCATATGCATAATGGTGTTATTTTGAGGGAATATTAAACCCCTGCCGCAACTGCAACACAACTAGTAAATAACACATACAAAAAAAAAACCAAAACAGTATTAATAAACACAAAACAGTATTAATTTACTCAACTATTCCATGAAAATGGCTTAGTTGAGAAAAAAATTCCTACGACATTTAAAAGAGTATTTAACGTCACCTTTTTCTGGAAGTAATGCTATAAGTAAGGTACTTAACATGACATTCATTACCCTCAGATTATTGTAATAGCATCCACCAGTAACAGAGGATATTGTCACTTTAGATTACAAATGTCCAGTTACAAGTACTTCTAAATTGCTTGTTCAAAGGTGATATTTTTAAAATGTTCATTGTTAAGCCTCTGCATGTCAACCTATGATTTTTCTCTTTATTTATAATACGGAACAGGAGTAAGTCATTTCTTGTTTCTTTCATGCAAAAGATGTTATTTCCATCACACTAATACATGTGGTAGTTTTACTTCACAAAAATACAAAATAATTACTTCTTCTTTTCATTAATGAGGGACAACTGGCTCCAACAACAATAATGTTTTTTGATGTAAATGTTGTTCAATCAGATGAGATTTTCAATTTTGATTCTTTCTGCTGTTTCACTTTAATTTAAGATCCAATATTTTTGCGTTACATCTTTCTTTCGTTCTGAAGTTACAATTTCACGGATTTAGCTTTCATAAATAGATATGATGTAAAAAACCAGAATGGAAATGACTGCAAAATCGTGACAGATTTCAAATGCACATGAAACTGCAAAACACGTAAAACTACGGAGTTTCACAACAAATAATGGGAAATGGGAGCGCCTAGGGACGCTCCCATTTCCCCCCTTTTTTTTCTTCCATGATTCTTATTGTTTGACCTTTTGTGACATTTTAGCTCTAAAGTTGCCCTGTAAAAGAATGTGTCAAGAATATCATTTTGAATCCTTGATGTTTTACAGATATTAATACATAATTTTCTACTGATACATCAGTAAATAAAATTTAAAACATCCATCTACAAATGCCTTGAAGTGTTTTCCACAAAGTGCCTCATAAATTTCCACTTATGAGGCACCGAAGAAAAAAGTAATAATGGCTGTTTGGTTGTAGCATGGGCATTTTTTTATGGTATTTATGTATTGAAAACAGTTCAATAAGTCATTCTGTATATTGATCAATATACTGAAGGCGATTAGCAACTTTATCGTTTATTGTAGAAACTTGAAAGGTGTTGTGCAAAACAAAAAGTAGAGAAATGATAATATATTTCAAAAATGGAAGAAAATTTTCCTAATCTCAGGCAAAGTAAAATAAAATGTAGCTTGAGAAAAATGTTGCGTATTTTGCATTTTCTAAATGGATTTTGAGCAACAAGAGTTTTTCCCAGGCATAAAAGTTTCTCTACACTAACTGATTAGGCAATGCATTATCAGGCTTGCACTCTTCTTTTTGTGAAATGCGTCCACCCAGAAGCAACAACCTTGCATACTGTACCCGTCTCTGTGTGGTTCATCAACAGGTCAAACAAAGAAATCCCACTTTTCCGTAATCCCCACCGCAGAGAGGAAGTGAAACCCTGCAAGTGTGCAAATCCACCGACTCACACACAGGAACGTGTGGGAGTGTCCATGAAAGAGTAGCTGGTGCTGCAGCGAGGCTGTTTTCACAGGCAGTTTGATTTGCTCTCTGGTGCATCATGAAGCTGCTTGCCGTCCTTCCGTTGTGGGCCCTGTTCACTGTCACCCAGCAGGTCAGAAGGTTATTAATGGTATTCATTTCTAGATATCGATTATTTGCTCATTTCTCTCTGCTTGTAATGTGCCGTTATTCCAGAAAGCACCGTCAGTTGACTGTCTGTGTGAGCTGATAAGCTCAGAGAAACAATTTCCCTACGACAAGCTGAAAGCAGCACAGGACGCCGCTGTCGGCTGCACAAAAACCGTCACTCCACAGAAGGTAGGCCAGTCTCCTCGTTTTCAGATGGACTCTGACTTGCCGTGCGTTTACCGCTTGATTACTTACTGCTCTGACAGAGCGCTGCCTTAGACAGCCTGCTGCTGGGCCTGAGTCGACGCCTGCCCCAGCTGGAGCAGGACGTGGCGATGCTGGAAAAGGAGGATGATGGGCAGCTGTTTGGAGTTCTGAGTCTGCACGTCATCGAGAACGAGCTTGCAGAGATCCAGCAGATGATTGAAAAGCTCAACAGAACCACCGCAGAAAGCGACCGGCTCAGTGAAAACGTGGCTCAGCAGGTAAATTCATAACCCTTCAGTAGTTTTAGTGCGTTGTCTTTAAATGAATCACTACCCCCACACCTATTTCTCATCAACGTCACCACATTTGGGGACATTTAAATGTATTAAAAGAGCATCAACAATTCCAGATGATTAATTGACATTCATTGTTTTTTGTTTGTTTTTTTTTTAAGTTGGAGAATGTAAAGGAAGAGATGGAGGAGCTGGAAAAATTTGACACCATGAAGGTGGTGGAGAGACAACAAGCTAACCAGCGACTGAGGAGAGACCTGGACCAGTGCAGAAACCATGGAGTCGTCCCCCCTATCCAACCCACTCAGCCAACTGGTGGTAAGTCCTAAAACTCTGAACGCAACAGCCTATCACACAAGCTCAACAGAACCACAGAAAATGGTCGTTTGGATCATAAATAGGTCGTGTAAATGAAGTTTCCTCCTGATGAAAAATTGTTTGATGTCTTCCTGGATGTTTTGATTTCACATTCTCCTAGGTACCTGTCGTCTCATCAACATCACAGGACCAAGGGTCCAGACAGCTGGAGAGTATCCCGGTTCATTCAAGTATGGAGCCTGGGGTCGGGATCCCAAACCAGAGCCCGGGAAGGAGAGCTGGCATTGGAGGGTGATGTTGACGTCCAGCAACAGATACGCCCATTACGTCCGTCTCTACTCCAGCCTGAGCTCTCTCATTGTTGGGATCAGTGTTCCAGGTAAGAGCCGGAGTATTTCTCTGACTAAAAATAACTCAAACCGACAAGTAAAAACGATCAATTTGTGTGGGATTATCTTCAGAAGAGAACTGATTGCTTCAATATTTCATGTGTAGGTTGACCGATTATAGAAAATGTCACTTGGAGGGTAATATTTTAAAATCGCCTTCATGATGTTAATTCAAACTGAGAGCTTTACGTCTCCTTTGTCCTTAGGAAATGTTCAGATCCATCCGTCTAACCCGACCACTAACACCATCCAGGGGCCGAATGTGGTTCTATATGCAGGGGCCTTGTACTACAACTGCTACAACAAAGATGCAGTTTGTCGATTCAACCTCACCTCCAAAGGTGTGACCACCTTGGATTTACCCAAAGGAACCAGGTTGGTGCTTATTGAAGTTGTGAATGTAAGAATAAAATTCGGAAAATCGCAACATACTCCGAGCAATTGTAAGAGCTTCTATGAGCAGCTAATGAAACTGATGGCGACTGTGAAAATTGATCAATATCGATGATGACAGAGAAAAACTGAAGAGAAATCGTGCATCCATCCGGCTGGATGTAGCACCACAGGAAACGATGTATCAGGTATGCTGGGCCAATCGGATACTCTGTAATGCTGCCAGAGAGTGACACCACAAACATAGACGGGCGCCATATTTGTGAGAGTGAAATAAATGTCACTCTCTCTTCATGGATGCACAGAAAACTTTTGCAGACACACGTAAAATCATATCTTCGTGGCTGGGACCTGAAAGCCACAGCAGAATTTCAGTAGCTTTATCTAATATACTATGTTAATGAGACTGAGTGAAAGACAATTATGTCTAGATATTATTGAATAACCTTCAGAAAGAATTGCTGCACCGAATCAAACTCTGACTTAAAGCTATTACAGGCATAATCTCAAATATTTTTCATCCTGATTCATAAATGTTTTCAACTTGTTGTATTCAGTATCGTAAAGGACAAACAATTGTCCAAAAGTCAAACCCTGCTCTGTGATTCCCTCTGCTTGTTTACCAGGTACAACTCAAAGGGTGATTTCTGCCACCTTGAAGAATGCTATCCGTTCACGGACCTGGACCTGGCCACAGACGAGTCGGGCGTCTGGGTGGTCTACACCACCACCCAGGACCACGGCAACCTGGTTCTATCGAAGGTGGAGGAGAGCGAGCCGCCGAAGCTCGGCAGAACCTGGCGGACATCAGTCTACAAGAAAAGCGTGACCAACACCTTCATGGCCTGTGGCGTCCTCTATGCAACACGTTTTGTCACCAAAAACACAGAGGAGATCTTTTATTCTCTTGACACGACGACAGGGAAGGAGAATTTCAAAGTCGGCATCTTCATCAATAAGGTGTCTTCTGACATTCTGTCCTTAAACTACAGTCCAGTGGATCAGATGTTGCATGTGTACAGTGACGCCCAAATGCTCTCTTACAAGGCTTTGTTTCAAATGAGGTAGAAGCAGCAGTAATGCTGAATAAGTGCCAGAAATTGCTGCGCTAAAATTCATCTGAAAATTCATCTTCCTTGTCTTGAAAAATGTTTTCTTTTTGTACCTGTTGAACCTTCTTTCTGCTTTCCCGTTTCACCAACTAATGCCATCACCTTGATGTCTGATTGATTTGAAATGAAAACAGAACATTTCTTGAGATAGCCTGTAATCTCAGCCATAAATAATCTGAGAGGGTTCAGTTAAAATGATCACACTTCAGATCTGGGATGCCAGATTTGTACAGTCAATTGACGCAGGTTGGCAAAGTGTGCAAATAATTTTCACTCCTGAAATCCTTCTCTAGAAAAGAAATATCAGCTTAAAAGGGACTGAATAAAAATCTACAGCAAACTTTTTGCATTTTTTTATTTTTTATTTTGAAAACCATCTCCCATCTTCTGTAATCTTTGAGTTTTGCCCAACTTTGTACGTACCTATCACATAAAATCCAAATGAAATCTAACAAAATATTTGGTAGAATCCCGAGAAAGTGCATCAATACTGTAAATGGACCCGAGTCAGATGTTTCCTAGCTCCACAATAGCTGGTAGCTGTAGTTCTTCAAGCTTTATCTAAAAACAAATGAAGAAAAGAAACTTGACAACTTCTGAAACTCTGACATTTAGTCTTTATTTCTTGTTACTTGACCAGTACATGGACAGAGACAGCTAAGTTTGTATTTATATAGTATATATATTATATTTAAATTTTACATTACACATCTGAATGACAACGAAGCAGGTAAGAGTCTTTCTACTGTTGTGAATAGAAACAAGCTAACAGGGAAGACTCCCACAATATGAAACAAACAAGAAAAAAAAAGAGACCTTATTGCTTCATACAAATCAATATTAATGGCAGTAAGTAGAAGCATAAGAGTAGTAGTAACACGTTTATCAAGATCATTATACCGAGATGAGGTTACACCCTACAGTTAACTATAAAAAAAGAAACAAAATGCAGGGGAGAGAAACAGAAATGTGTTTTCTCACATTACAGTGGTGTTAATGTTTGGTAATGGTAACCTGCTCTAGAAATAAAAAGTATCTACACGAGCGAGGAGGTCTAAACAAACTGATCCGGTGAGTAGCTGACCGGGAACCAAGAAGGCGGAGGAAGGATCTGCGGTTTTCATGTCCAGGGCTAAAGGTTAAGAGATGTGGGGGCACAGAGAAGAAGTGCAAACCGTGGTGAGATCGAGGATGTGTAGGATGACAATACCTTACAGCACTTCAAAAGAGGGACAAGATACATTCAGGAGCCCCCCAGGCAGTGTAGGTCGAAGTTGTGTGGGAGGAAACCAGAGTGTAAGAAGGCAGAAAATAGCTTTTTGTGAAGAGAAGAAACACTGAAAGATGGCTGAACACGAACTCCGCTACACGCAGTCTAGATTGTTTGGAAAGCCACTCGCAGGGTGATCAGATCTCGTAATCCGCTCCCAGCTTATGTTACATTTTTATTAATACATCGACAACAGTTAATCTCTCATGCGTGGACAGAGTCACATTCTTTTCCGTGAACATTCATCCAACTATTTTTCAGGGCAGCATCTCTCTCTGCTGTGCTTTAGCCACCGCTCTCTGCACGCTCCCTATCGCCCCCTGGTGCTCCAGAACAGTTACCACAACACTCTTTAAAAGTGACTTCAGCTGATAGCCCTTTAGGGTGCGGCTGGGCTTGCCTGTGAGAGCCGGGGCACCTTGTGAATTTTTTTTTTAGGGAAGGGGGATATTTTTTTTTTTAAGATGGCTGGGGATTGCCCTACATTCCGAGCTTGGAGCCCAAATGGCGCCAAAAAAGCCCCGCCTCTGGCAGGCTGCCTCCAGGGAATGCACACCTCAGTATTTGGAATCCTTCCTAAAGGGGGACAAAAATGCTTTGTTTCATTTCAAAAAGAGAAAGAAAAACGGAAATCAGTCACAAGTGGAGTGAGCGTACATGAATACTGGACGTAAATGCAGCTAAATAAAAACCCGGGGAGCACCATGTTTGGTCTCAGTAAAGGTGGCCAGAGTTCACAGAGCTCAGCACGTGCCTTGGTCACAAACTACTCTTGCTGTACGACTAAAAGCGCTAAGCTAGTGAGAGTATGAGTAAACATCAAATCACTCACTGGCCATGGATCTATGAGTTTGTGTACATTTTGTGTTTTTCTTTGGCACAGTCTCGTCACAAAACCCAGCCCACACAGCTCTCCTTTCAGTGAAAGGGCGAAAAATGTGCGCTTGTGTGTTGAAAGTGGAAAGTGTGAGGGTGTAGCTTTGGTATGTCCACGCAGCAGGGCTGGGCGCTGTAAGGGACATTCTCGGGTGCCTCGACTCCCCAAACCTGTTCTGGTTTGGCTTCTTGAGTGGTGATTGACCACTGCCAGAACTGCGTCGGTGCAGAAGAGCCTCAGATCCACGATGGGTGTCGCATTTATGACTCTAAACATCCATCTAAATCAGCCTAACAAAAATGTTGCTATTTTCACCTACTACTCAAATAGGAATGCACCAAGATTCACATACACATGCAGATATGTGTTTGACATTGCTAAGCTATGATTTTGTGGTGGATTGTCTTTAACGTCAAGTGACCTACACACACACAAACACACACACACACACACCTTGAAGCTGCACTCAGTAAATCCCACTAATACGGACCGTTTCAGCTAAAGCAGCCATGTTCACCAGCCCGGCCTGACAAATGCAAGAAGGAAGGAGATTTCCCTAAATGATTTCACTGAGAGAGTAGAGAAGCAGGCTCTTCCTCATTTTCTTTCATTCTAACAACTATGAAACACAAAAGAGAAGAAGTGTGGTCCAGCTTTTTGATAGAGGTAGTAGTTTTAAATCTAACAAACAAACAAACAAAAGCAAGTTTATCCTAGATCTATGCATTAACCACTTGCTCCTAGTCATTCTGTGATTTTTATAAAACTGGTTACGTAAAAAAAAAGTGCGTCAAAGTAGGCCAGTGTGCTTTGGCTGATGCATTTATAGAACAAAAATAATGTGAAGTTGTAATTTTGATGATTTTTTTTTATCAAACAGGTGGAAAGAAAACAATTTTTTTCAACAAATCAAGGTCTTCTAAGATAAAGCTAATCTCTGGTTGACTGACTCATGCAACTTTCCTTTCAAAAAGGCAGAGAAGTATTTTTGAAAGATCTGAAAACGATTCCCTACAGTCAAATAGGGAATATAAAAATACTACACTCATTTTAAAGAACTAGCAATATTCTTTTAGACAACTAAACTTTCTCAAATTTGAGGTATTTCTTCCTAGGATGAACAAATAATACAGACATGATGATGAAACATCTTTTCATCCTGTTTTGGTTCAGTAAGACCACTAATCTAAAATGAAATCTATAAACTTTTACAGGTGAGTTCAACTCTAAACACACAGCTTAAACAATACAAATACTTTTTATACATAAAAAATTCATATAAGAAAATATAGTTTCAACTGTCACCATAGTGCTGAGATGAACATGCAACACAGAACTGCAACCATCCTAGAAATGATTGCAACGTTTTTACTTTTCCTGTAACTTGAAAAATGCACATCCTTCAGAAACCGCGAGCCTCATTTGAAACCACGCAGCTCCAGATTGTCATCTTGCATAAAAATCACCCTTACTCCAAACTCTTCAGCTCTCTGCATCCGTTTAAACTGATGGGGGTCTAATTTCCAGGATCAGAGGTGAGAAAAGTTGCCTCCACTTTATTTTCAATGGAAACGTAAATCGACAAAGCCAGGCTGGGGAAGATGGCAACTTCTAATTGTCCTATCTTAAGAAATAAACTCAGACCAAGTGCAGCTTAGCTTCAGTGTGCTCTGTTCTAACTAGGCTCTAAAATAAACTAACACATCATGTCTAACACATCATGCCACGATAAGAGCACGTGATGAAACCTGCCCGACTCTGGACGCACCTCTTTTTGTTCTCGCCGGCCCTCTTGTGGCAGGAGATCAGCTTCCTTGAAAGCATTTCAGAGAGAGATGCTGCCAATTTCTCACAAATAACATGAACTACTTTCCAAAATCCACATGCATTTATCTATTTTCATTTATTCACCTTTGTGGCACCCCCAAAAAGTTCCGCTTTCCCTCTCATTTTTGCCTTCGAAACAAATGGGAGCTTTTAAATTACATATGGGTGTGTGGGTGACCAGTAGTTTGTGTAAGTGCGTGTGTGTGTGTGTGTCTTTTCTTGGGGGGCGGGGAGGGAATTAGAGGGGTGCAGGCAAATTAAATGAGGAACACTTAGCAAACACAAGAATGACACTTCAAGAGCAAAACCAGCAGTTTAAATCTTTAAGTGTGGGGCGAAGGGGGTTTGGAGTGGATAGTCAAAGGTCTGCTGGGCGTGTCAGAAGCAGTACAGATGGTATTTTACAGTGACAAGGGGAAGAAGATGGCAGACAAAGATGAAGACAGCGAGAGAGAGAAAAAGCCGCCAGCTGACACTCATCAAGCCTCATTTTTGATCCTCTTCTTCCCTCTCCACCCGCCACTACCCCTCTTCCTCCCTTTCCTCTGTGGCTCCTCAGCAGGACACCTCCATGGTCTGGGAGACCGCGCCGACGCCCTCGCCGCTGTCGGAGTTGGTGCAGGCGCGGGAGCGGGACCCCTCCACGGAGCCGGCGCTGGTCAGGGAGGCGGTCCTGGAGCGGGCCAGGCGGGTCATGCTGGCAGAGGGCACTGAGGGGAGGAAGAGGGGAAGAAGAGGCAGTTAGAGCCCCCCGACCTCCAAAACACAAAAAAATAAGAAAATAAGAAAATAACGTAATGAGGTAATGTCAGGGAGATGTAGGGAGGACATGCTAATGCGAATAACTGAAGATTATACCTCTTTTTCAGCTGACTGGCTTGTAAAGCAGCCATTAAAAAAAATGGGCAGGTATAAAAGCTGCTAATGTGTCGGCAGAGAGACACATTGTGGGCACCATGCATGTTATTCTCTGGTTACGATACACAAACATCACTGGGAATAATCAGAAAAGCTATGTTTTAAATAAATGTAAATTCATCTATTTTACTAAGTAAATCCCATGGCTACATCACTTCCTGAAATTATTTGTTTCATCTGTAAGAAAAGGTCTGAAATGTCCAAGTCCCCACTGGATATCAGTTAATAACTGATTGATTGATTTATCAATCTATGATCTGTGAATAGTTAAAGTGTTTGACCGCACATCTCAACAGTACTTGGACAAATCTCATTAAAGACGAAAATAAAAAGTGTCCCACTGTTTTGGTTTCCACCACATGCAAAACACAGGAATAATGGGCGTGCAAAAATAATCTGCAATGTACGACACATTGCCTTTGTTCAATTTGAAGTCTTCA